ACAGGAACGTTACGTACAGCAGCGCAGCTTTAATTCAGAACATGTTTGGAGAGCTCTGGACTACAGGGACGCCGTGGAGACATAGGGAGGGCATCTGACACACATTTCAGAGCACGTTCATAAACCAAATTGCGTTTTTCTTGTTCTTTAGGCGTTATTGCCGGGTTCACTCGTGACCCTGGGGGTCAGCCTTATCATCAGAAGAGCCTCTAGTCAGAAAATCCATGTTCAGGTCGTGTTACAAATTGTTACAAATGAAATTGTATTTCAAGTTTTAAATATTTTAAAAAGTAAATATTAAAAGTAATAAATATATTAAACCCTTAAAATACAGCAAAAATGTTTGAGGAAATAATGATTTGGGTGGAAATGTCTGTCTTAAGTGTAACAGGGTTAAGAATTGTCTGATTTTCAGGCAACAACTTGCAAAATGTTCAGTAATTCGAGCTTCACCACCTTCATTTCAATTTTATTTTAAATCTTTTTATTTTAATATAGCATTGGTGTGTTTGTAAACCAACAAATTAAGTAATTCTGGCCTAATGCTGTTATGCATGATTATGCATTTTCCTGTCAATATCTCTAAACATTTTGATGTTGCAGCCATTTTAATTGGTAAACATCCAAAAGTTTACTAATTCTTCCCTGATATCCAGGGATTATTCCCTGTTGCTTTCATCAAATATACATTCAATTGTTCAAGAGAAATGTTGCTGACAAACCAATAGAAGAGGGAATGATTTTCTGACTAGTGGGTCTTCTGATGATAAGGGTGTAACCGTCACAACAAACGCAAACGCCGCAACAAATACAAATGTGAAAACACAACAAAAAGCCACAACAAACCAAAAAAAGCCACAACGGAAGTGACCGCGGGACTCTATTTTAATGCAAAAGCCACAACACAAATGCAAACGCCACAACACATTAAAAAGCCACAACACATCAAAAAGCCACAACAGAAGTGTCCGCGGGACTCTATTTTCCGTCCAAAAGTTTTGGGGAAGAGAATTCCAGAGGGAGGAGCCTCACTAGAGATTATAATAAAGTCATGCTTCCTCAACCTAATTAAAACATGCAGGTTTAACATCGGCCAAAATCAAGTGACCTTTGTAAGATTTAAACATGCTGGACAGAGAAACGTAAAAAAGTCATGTTATTGTTGTCAAATTTGTTTTTGCAATTTGAGCAACTCCTCTCGGACCATTTTTTCAGTGCAGAGCCAGACTAGTCGCACTGTTCTGGATTAGTTGAGGTTTGATAAGATCCTTTTTTGAGGCACTTGACCAGATTACAGAGCAGTAGTCTAAACGTGAAAGGACCAGAGACTGAATAACCATCTTAATATTTGAAAAGGGTAAAAAAAAATATGCACAACGTCTTATATTTGAGATGGCTGAACTCATTTTAGCAACAGTGTTTTTACTATGAGCAGCCCGTGATCAAGTGGAGTCAATTTTAACACCCAGTAATTTCAGCACCTTAAAGTAGGGTGACCAAACGTCTGTTTTTCCCTGGACATGTCCGTATTTTGCGTCTTGTCCTGGGCGTCCGGGTTTTTTTTTTTTTTTAAGTGATGGAAATGTCCAGGTTTTTATTACCGTTCATTGGGGGCATTAAATTGATCGGCTTTTGTAGTTCTCTGTGACTCAGAAGGAGCGAGACACAAACAGTCGGTCAGTCTGCAACATACCGAAGCATAAATGCGCATTTAACAATGACTTGTACAAGAAATTCTCCGTTTTCCATCCCGGTCGGGACAAGTGGGAGTCCATGTGTACAGGTTGTGAGGTGAGAGTTCAGTGTCCCTCGTTTATCGTGGGGGTTCCGTTCTAAAAATAACCCGCGATAGGTGAAATCCAGGAAGTATCATCTTTATATTTTACAATTATTCTACCTGTTTTAAAGCTGTAAAACCCCTCAGCACAAACTTTATACACTTTTCTCAGACAGGACAGTTACAAACTTTTTGCATCCTTCTTAAAACTTATTGCTGCTGTCATCCTTTTGTTATTTTCCTCCTTTTTTATGTAACGAACCCAAGATTCATTTATTCCGTAATAGAGCCCCACAGCGCAGAGTCCTGCACAGGTCCATTTTTGGAGACCTGCAGTACAACACCGCACCCGCTCGTTAACCCGAGATTATATCAAACTTTTGCGCTGCCCACGCCCAGGACTGAACCAGGACTGAACCAGGACTGAACCAGGACTGAACCAGGACTGAACCAGGACTGAGCCAGGAGTCAGTGTCGGGACGGACCGGAGGTGACCGCAGGAGAAGGGGCCGATGTAGAGCTCCACACCTCACGGAGGTAAACGAGGGAATTGCCTGATCGCGCTTTGCAGACAAACTGCTCTCTCTTAAGTCCAAGATTAGTCCTGGTTTAGTCCTGGTTTAGTCCTGGTTTAGTCCTGGTTTAGACCTGGTTTAGTCCTGACCCACCCATGTGTAAAAAAAAAAATAAAAAATCAGCGAGACCGCGAAAGGTGAACCGCGATATAGCGAGGGACGACTGTAGCTCAATGTCGAGGCCCCACCTCCCACCCCCGGTAAGGTGTCCGGGTTTTCACAAATGGAAATATGGTCACCCTATTATAAAGTCATGTTTCCTCAACCTGATTAAAACATGCAGATCTAACATTGGCCACAATCAAGCGACCTTTGTAAGATTTAAACATGCTGGACAGAGAAACGTAAAAAAGTCATGTTATTGTTGTCAAATTTCCAACCATCCATCCATTTTCGTCCACTTATCCGGGGCCGGGTCGCGGGAGCAGCAGCCGAAGCAGGGACTCCCAGCTTAGGCTTGTTGTCAAATTTGTTTTTGCAATTTGAGCAACTCCTCTCGGACCATTTTTTCAGTGCAGAGCCAGACGAGTCGCCCTGTTCTGGATTAGTTGAGGTTTGATAAGATCCTTTTTTGAGGCACTTGACCAGATTACAGAGCAGTAGTCTAAACGTGAAAGGACCAGAGACTGAATAACCATCTTAATATTTGAAAAGGGTAAAAAAAAATATGCACAACGTCTTATATTTGAGATGGCTGAACTCATTTTAGCAACAGTGTTTTTACTATGAGCAGCCCGTGATAAAGTGGAGTCAAGTTTAACACCCAGTGATTTCAGCACCTTAAAGTCAGCACCTTGCATGGAGAGATTAAGATTGTACACAGATTTTAAAGCACTTTTAGACCCCAAAACCATACATTTAGTTTATAGAACATAGATTTTTAATTTATTTTCATTAGCCCAATTATGAATCACATCTAGTTCATGTTGCATTTAAAACATTTACAGCTTTGGAGATGTAAACAGACTAATAATAAAGAATTACTCAAACATGTGTGAATGAAACAAAACACACAACTCCAGCTCTGTTTTTGATTAGATAACAACAGTTGATTTTTTTTTGGCCAAAATGTTACACACTGGGGCTTTAATCTGTCACTGTTTGGTCAGAGGGTTGACTTCCCGTTTGGTGAAGTCTCATTGTTTTTTGTTTTTTTTGTCCCAAACAGAATCTGGTTCTTGTTTGACAGTTTCCTTGTTTGACCGAAGCCGCACCGGTCGAACCTGTTCAGCCAGGAGAGAGGGAGAGGACGAGGAGAGAGAGAGAGGGAGGGAGGGAGAGAAGAGAGGGAGGTGGAGAGAGGAGAGGAGGAGAGAGAGAGAGAGAGAGAAGGTTGAGAGGGAGGGAGATAAAGAGGGAGAGAAAGAGAGAAGGAGAAGAGGTAAAGGGAGAGAGAAGAGAACAAGAGAGAGAGAAGAGGGGAGAAAGAAGGAGAGGGGGAGGGAGATAGAGAGGGAGGGCGAGGGGGTTGAGGGGGAAAGAGATAAAGAGGGAGAAGACGGAGAGGGTGAGAGAGAGAAGGGGGGGCAGAGACGGGGGGGGGGGGGGGGGGGGTAAAGGGGCAGAGAAAAGAGAGGGAGGGAGAGAGACAAGAGGGAGAGAGAGAGAAGAGGTAGAAGGGGAGAGGAGAGAGCAAGAGAGAGACAAGAGGGGGAGAAAGAGAGAGTGGGAGGGGGAGAGAGGAGCGAAAGAGAGAGAGAGAGACGAAGAGGGGGGGGAGAGAGAAGAGGGGGACAAAAGAGAAAGAAGGAGAAGAGGTAGAGGGGGAGAGAAAAAAGACTGAGGAGAGAGAGAGAGACAAGACAGGGAGAAAGAGAGAGGGAGAAGAGGTAGAGGGGGAGAGAGAAGAGAAGGGGAGAGATGAGAGAAAGAGGGGGGGGAGAGAAGAGGGGACAAAGAGAAAGAAGGAGAAGAGGTAGAAGAGGAGAGAAAAAAGACTGAGGGAGAGAGAGAGAGAGACAAGAGGGGGAGAAAGAGAGAGAGGGAGGGGGAGAGAGGAACGAAAGAGAGAGAGAGACGAGAGAGGGGGGGAGAGAGTAGAGGGGGACAAAGAGAAAGAAGAGAAGAGGTAGAGGGGGAGAGAAAAAAAGACTGAGGGAGAGAGAGAGAGAGACAAGAGGGGGAGAAAGAGAGAGGGAGAAGAGGTAGAGGGGGAGAGAGAAGAGAAGGAAGGGGAAGAGAGGAGAGAGAGAGAGGAGAGTGAGAGAGAGACAAGAGGGGGAGAAAGAAGAGAAGGAAGGGGGAGACAGGAGAGAAAGAGAGAGAGACAAGGGATAGAGAGGGAGAAGAAGGGGGGAGGGAGAGGGGTGAGAGAGAGAGAGATGGATAGAGAGGGAGGGGGAGGGAGAGAGAGAGGAGAGGAGAAGGAGAGAGAGGAGGTAAAGTTACGCAGAGAAGAGAGGAGAGAAAAGAGAGAGAGGGAGAAGGAGCAGAGGGAAAGAGTGAGGGAGGAAAAGAGATGAGAAGGAGAGAGAGAGAGAGGAGGGAATTGAAGAGTGAGAGAGAGAGAGAGAGAGAGAGAGAGAGAGAGAGAGAGAGAGAGAGAGAGAGAGAGAGAGAGAAATGCCACATGCAGCGGGGCGGGCGAGGAGTGGGCGGGGCTTGGAGTCCTCATAAGAAAACCTGTTTTTGTCCAGAGCAGAGAGCGAGGGACAGGGAAGGACAGAGACGGAGCCAAAGAGAGGAGGATGAAGGAGGGCGAGTCTGCAGGAGCTCGGACCAGCACCTGACACGACCCCAACCAAGACCCAGGACCCAGATCTGGACCAGGACCAGGACCAGGACCGGAGCCTCCACAGGTGAGACAGACTTGAACTTTGTCTGACCTTTACTTTAAAATGGACCATGTCAGATCTGCGCAAAGGTCGACTTTACAAACTGTTCTTCTGTTTGAGTTATTTCTTTGTGAAACGCAATTAATCAATTGTTGGAGAGATGTGGATTTTATTTTATTTTTCGAACATGATTTGAAACAGTTGAATATTGAACGGTTTAGATGTTAAACTTAAAACTATACATTTTCAAGATTTCATGTTTTGATTTGGATTTTTATTTCAGATCTGATTTAGTCCTAGTTTAGACCTGGTTTAGTCCTAGTTTAGACCTGGTTTAGTCCTAGTTTAGACCTGGTTTAGTCCTAGTTTAGACCTGGTTTAGTCTTAGTTTAGACCTGGTTTAGTCCTAGTTTAGACCTGGTTTAGTCTTAGTTTAGACCTGGTTTAGTCCTAGTTTAGACCTGGTTTAGTCTTAGTGTAGACCTGGTTTAATCCCAGTTTAGTCCTAGTTCAGACCTGGTTTTGTCCTAGTTTAGACCTGGTTTAGTTCTAGTATAGACTTTGTTTATTCCTGGTTTAGACCTGGTTTAGTCCTGGTTTAGTCCTAGTTTAGACCTGGTTTAGTCCTAGTTTAGACCCGGTTTAGTTCTAGTTCAGACCTGGTTTAGTCCTGGTTTAGACCTGGTTTAGTCCTGGTTTATACCTGGTTTAGACCTGGTTTAGTCCTGGTTTAGACCTGGTTTAGTCCTGGTTTAGACCTGGTTTAGTCCTGGTTAAGACCTGGTTCAGACCTGGTTTGGTGGTTGTTTAGTCCTGGTTTAGTCCTGGTTTGGTCCTGGTTTAGTCCTGGTTTAGACCTGGTTTAGACCTGGTTTAGTCCTGGTTTAGACCTGGTTTAGTCCTGGTTTAGTCCTGGTTTATACCTGGTTTAGTCCTGGTTTAGACCTGGTTTAGACCTGGTTTAGACCTGGTTTAGACCTGGTTTAGTCCTGGTTTAGACCTGGTTTAGTCCTGGTTTAGTCCTGGTTTATACCTGGTTTAGTCCTGGTTTAGACCTGGTTTAGACCTGGTTCAGACCTGGTTTGGTGGTTGTTTAGTCCTGGTTTAGTCCTGGTTTGGTCCTGGTTTAGTCCTGGTTTAGACCTGTTTTAGACCTGGTTTAGACCTGGTTTAGACCTGGTTTAGTCCTGGTTTATACCTGGTTTAGTCCTGGTTTAGTCCTGGTTTAGACCTGGTTTAGTCCTGGTTTAGACCTGGTTTAGACCTGGTTCAGACCTGGTTTGGTGGTTGTTTAGTCCTGGTTTTAGCGCCTGTTTTGAGTGTACAACACATGTTACTGTGTTTGAAGTGACTCTTTCAATGATAAATGACATTTCCACTTCAGTGTGAGTGTGTTTATATGGAGAAGTGCAATAGTCTTACGTACTGTTTTTTTTCTTATTATTATTATTCATTGTTCTTCAGAGGTTCTGATGTTGAGTTGTGTGACTTTCCTCCTTAGACAAACAGTGAACACAAACCTTTAGTACAGAGTGAGGAGGAGGAGGAGGAGGAGGAAAAGTTTTTCATGTGTTTCTAATTCTGACCTGGTTTAGTGGAAACGACCGACAGGAAGTAACGCTCAGTTCTAAAACACAGTGTTTGTTGTGACACATTTAAAACACATTTAAATCTGACCTATTCTGCAAAATGGACTTTTCAGGAAAAGAAAATATTGTGGCAGACCAAAATGCTTAACTCAGTTCTGCAGAATATTAATTATATTTCTTTATAAAAAGCAGTAAATATGATTGTTTTGATAAGTTGGAATGACTTCTAAGAGTTTATGTTACGACTAAGCAATGAAAAAGTGAGGTCGCCTTACAAAATGCCATAAAAAAAAAAAAACACCTCTAAAATAAAAGCAATGCAGTTTTAGTCAATGCATGAGGTCAAATTATAACATATGGGTCTGGTCAAGTGGTAACGGAGGGAAACAGAGGCAGATTTTTGACATTCAAATGTCTCTTATTCAGAAACTAGAGGGACTATTGAAATAAGTAAAGTATCAGAATGTAGGAAAGAGTTACACTCCAACAGGGTCAAGTTAAACCTGTGATATTCTTTCAAGTTGTTGACAAAACATTTAAAAACTCATGTTGGTAACGGAGGGAATGAAATATGCAGCACTTTTTGGGCAATAAATCCAAACAGTGATAACTCTTGGTTCTCACTTCCATATCCTTAACAAACTGGTTTGAATATTTGCTTCATATAGTTTTCTACCATATGGTACAAGATTAGGTTGAAAAACCTCTTACTTTTTGACTCATGAGATTTTTTATTAAGAAAGGTCATGGTAACGGACGGAAAAGTAACGGAGGGAAAATTGTACAAACAAGTAGAAGGTGCAGGATTTTACATCATTTGTCAGTTTTTTTCTTCCAAATACTTTATTATTACTTCAAAAGGAAAGGGAACTATTTCTCTAAAATATGTCAGTCCTTCCAAGCAAATTTTTGTCATTTTAAATCATTATTATTATTTTTTTTAAATCCTGTACCTTCATCAACAGTTCAAAGATGGAATAACACAAGATATGATGAAATACATCCATTTATTTACATGATTTTCAGGTCTTCGAAATTTGGGAAATAATTTTTGTTCCATGTTTCATACATGGTCTGTTTAAAACGTATGGAACTTTAGAACCAAAAATGGTACAAAAAAAGGTCAGCAGTTTCATAAACTAGAGTACATATGTATCTGTTCAATACATTTTTATATCAGATGCATTAACTTGAATTTTTGGCCTTGTTGTTTACTTCTGCTTGACCAGGCACATATGTTTATTTTGTAATTCCAAATGAGCTTAAACAGGACGATCAGAGTCGAGCGAAGGGACGTATGTGGCCCTGGAGCTGGACCGGGGTGAGGGGAAACATCTCGAGCAGATCTGGGCATGGTCTGCTCGAGATGATTCCCCTCACCACTGACCCTCTGAAGTGATTCGTGCATGTTTGAGTCTTTAATCGCTTCTTTTCAAGACGTCATTTTGCACATCTACCACTGTTTTCAGCTCCACTGTCATGTCCTCACTCTGTTCCTACTCGTAGGACTGGGCAGCATTGCATTGTCATTTTGGTCCATTTGTAAAAAATGCTCTAGTGTGATATGCAGATATCCATAAGATAGGCCCACAGCCTCGTTTAGATTAGTCCTGGTTTAGTCCTGGTTTAGTTCTGGTTTAGTTTAATCCTGGTTTAGTCCTGGTTTAAATTACTCCTGGTTTAGTCCTGGTTTAGTTCTGGTTTAGTTTAGTCCTGGTTTAGTCCTGGTTTAGTTTAGTCCTGGTCTAGTCCTGGTTTAGTTTAATTCTGGTTTAGTCCTGGTTTAGTTTAGTCCTGGTTTAGTCCTGGTTTAGTTTAGTCCTGGTTTGGTTTAGTCCTGGTTTAGTTTAGTCCTGGTTTAGTTTAGTCCTGGTTTAGTCCTGGTTTAGTTTAGTTCTGATTTAGTCCTGGTTTAGTTTAGTCCTGGTTTAGTCCTGGTTCGGTTCTATCCACAGGAGGGGTGCACATCATGCGGCGCTTTGTTGTCATGACGTTTATGTCGACCTCAGCTCCCACTGGACGCCCCAGTTTTCTATCACAGAAGTCAGCGCTCTTGTTTCTTTCATGAATTCGTTTTAGAAGAATTATATGATTATTACAGACGTGTCAGACTCAGGCCCGGGCCGATATTCCGATATTATATTTGTCCGTGAGATCATATCAAATCTGTATTAGATCTGCCCGCCGCACACAGAGAGACTAAAGACACATTATTTATTTAAAATGTTGTTATTAATTTATATTCTGCTTGTTCTGGATTCAGTGTTTAAGCAAAACTTTTACTAAACATTTATTTGAATAAGAAAAAGTTTAACATTACATAAGAAGAGAAAACACGCAGATGTTGCTGAAATTTTTCAATAAATATTTAGTTTGGCCCAAGACTTAGTCCCAGTTTTTAATTTTAGCCTCTGTGAATTTGCATTTGACACTCTTGGATTATTATAATAACTGTATAACAGACACAAGCCCAACGTGTTTTCTTTAAACATATCAAGTCATGTCAGCTGTGTGTTAGTGAAAAGAGAAGTGTGACGTGTCGTACACACTCACAGCTCACTGCTGCAAATGTGAAGCTGTTCTCAAGTCACTTCACATTTTATTTGGTAGTAAATTTGAAAGTAAGTTTGTTTTGGTGCAGTAATACTCGCAGTACTCCTGTCACTGTGTCTCTATTCTGTACTGAAGAACACTTAACAATAAAGTAAAAGGTAAAGTTATCATTTTTCAAAAATTTTTTTTTTTTTTTTTTACAGTTTTCACATTTAAAAACATCCTTCACATTTGAGAGGAGACTGAAACATGAGCCTGCTGATGTGTGTCGAGTGTGTCATGCGTGTAGAGTGTGTAGTGTGTGTAGTGTGTGTAGAGTGTGTAGAGTGTGTAGAGTGTGTAGTGTGTGTAGTGTGTGTAGTGTGTGTGTAACGTGTGGAGTACAGGTTGAGCAGGTCTGTGCACGACAAAGGAATATTCCACACACAATAAGGTTACACACACACACAATTAGATCTTTTACTCTTTGTGACAAAAGGTTTTTTAATTGTTGTTACAAAAGTTGAGGACACAGAACAGTGAAAAGTACAAATTCAAAGTACAAGTTGTTATACTCCGATATTAAAGTCTGGATGTGATCGACAGGTGTAGGTAAATGTTCGCCACCTGCTCTAGAATGTTCCAGAGTACGGCATTAAACGGTCTGTCTTGCATTTACTCAATTCCAGGCTTTTTTGTTTGTTTGTTTGTTTTGCTTTAACTGCTTGACAAACATTCTACATTCTTGCAGTGAGCCGTCGTCCTGTCGATTTGAGCTCCCTAGTGCTACAACTCCCAAGCGCTGTTACAGTTTAAATGCCGTCGATTTGAGCTCCCAAGGTAGAAGTAAAGTAACAAGTCACACAAGTGTTTTGATTTTATTGTCTGTTTTGTAAGCAATGA